TGTGGAACAAGTTGGATTTTGTGTTTCTTAAGATCTTGGACTTTTGTGCAGCACCCTGAGACAACTGTTTGTTGTGATACTGTGCTATATAAATACATTTGATTGATTGATTGATTGATTGATTGATGATTGACTGATTGACTGATTGATTGATTGATTGATTGACTGAGGTGTGAGCAGTTCGGGAGCTTTTATTTTGAAAGCCTGGGCCGGAACATGAATGCGGTCATTGAAGCCACGTTGGCTTGCGGCGGCTGATTGTTAGTGTGTTAAAGAAGCGGACTGCAGCGGTGGAAGAAAACCGAGAGTGGACGCGACTCGGGAAGAAGTTGTTGCCCGCAGAACGAAGACGAGGAGCGAACAAGACCGAAGTTAAAGTCGCGCTGGAACCAAAGCAACACGGCGAGTCGAGCCGAGGATCGTTCGTCATCGCCCGCACAGGGCAGATCAAGTAAGCTCGCTTTGTTTTATTCCAGCTCTCTGGTTCGCGTCGTCGTCATTTCCACTCGTTTAACGGTGTCGCACGAAGGTACGTGTCCCCGGGGATTGGTGCTCTCAGCCCCGCAGAGGACCTGAGTGTTGTGGCTCCGTGCGCACTCACTTCGCCGTGTGTCGCAAAACATGGAAGGAGATCTGACAGGGAAACTGGTAAATGCTTTAAAGATCGTCCTCTGTGTGCACATTCCAATCAGCATGTGTACTTGTACCAAGATATCTCTTTTAGAACTGCTTCCCGTGGACACGCTCATTCAAAGTTAACTTAGTACTTTGATCCCAGTTGGTAATAATTGGCTTATGTAACTAAGTATGTGAATGGAGCCTGTACTGTTTTCTTAGCTTTGGTTGTCTTTGTTGACTGTGCTTCATCAAAGCTTTTCTCCTTTTCATTGCATGATTGTATGACTAACCCTGACTAAACCTTTAAATGTGCAAACATGACATATGAAATGTTCTTCCTAATTAGTTAGACACTTATTCTAACTTAGCAACACACAGGCGTAAGCGGTGCACCAAGGAAAAGGCTTCACCCTCCTGCATTTGAAGACAGATCGCGTCACAGTGGCACAAAAACGTTGTCACATTTGAAACCTCCTTTAGACAGGGCCGAGAAATGCGTCCTGTTCCCAATCAACAACATATCCAATGGGTTGATCCTTCCCAGGATTCCGACGAGTTGCTATTCCGACTATTTAGCTTGCTAGCTCAAAGTATTTAACAAAGCAACTCTCTAGATCAGTGGATCGCTGTGCGGTTCACACTACAGGACTTGCTGTCTTGTGATTGGGACTGACTGGTGTCACACTACACAATCTTTTACCAGGAGAAATCCCTGACTGGTCCCCCAAACTATGTTTGATCACAAAAGCACTTGCATGAAATAAAACATAAAAACTTGTCAAGATGAGATTGTCCAAGACAAGCCAAAGACTTTAAAGGTGTTTAGTTGCAAACATATGTCCTGAAGTTTGCATGGCAACCATCTAGCACCTGCCCAACCCATCCATCTTGCCACTAAGAGGAGTACTATTTTGTCTGCTCTGCTTTTGTGAACTGTTAGATGAAGAGCTGAGGTAAAAGAACACTTTAAATTCTGTATTATGGGAAAGTCGTGTCGAGTACACATAAGAACCCTCTGTCGTGATTAAAAAAGCCTCAGATTAAAACTTTAAATGCCTTCATGTCGTTGGGGTAATGGGTTGATTTAAACTCTTGTCATTCTTTCTGTCGGCCCTTTCAAAAGCTACCTGCTGGAAAAGCTCTCCCCACTGCACAAGGAGAACATTATGAACTCGTGCACAAGTATATGCTGCTGAATCTTCTCCTCTTCTGTGCAGGATTCCATGTGATGGTGTGAGGATGGGACAGGGTGGTGTTGGGAGTGACCGCAGCCCTGGAGGCTGATGAACCTGCTCCATCGGCCAGTCAGGATGCACATAGCTTCAGTGGGTGTCAGCAAGTTCTGCTTCCTGTTTTCCCTCGCATTCTGTGGCCTCTTGCTTCTGTTAATCCCGGCCTTCCAGCCCCCAGCTCGCCAGGTGGACCTGCCTCAGCCCCGACCCCAAATCAGATCCACTCAGGCAGGCTCATCACACCGCACCAGGGTACCAGCAGTGTCTGTCCTTGCTGGGGGAACTGACACAGCCACAGGGCTAAATGGAAGCTCACTGGGCCAGGGGGAAACCATGGAGATGGAAGTTACCGCGAGCGATAAGAGAGGGGTGGACTCCCCAAGAAGCCATGAAAGAGGGGCTTTTCCTTCAAGAAAAGTTGGTAGACTTTCAGGATCTATATCCCATGACCCATTGGATTTGAAGGACATTTTTATTGCTGTGAAGACTACCAAGAAGTACCACAAGACCAGACTGGAGCTGCTAATTCACACCTGGGTGTCCCAAGCTAAGGAACAGGTGAGGAGAGCTGCTCATTTTTTGTTGTGGATGTAGCTTCAACAGCTCTGTGCTGTTTTTAAGTCTGGACTCGCCCAAAGGCTCCATCACTGTTATCATGTAACAGTTACACACACTGACTCAAGTCCTGGTGTGCAGAATGGATCTATTGCTGAATGAAGTCATTTATCAAACACAATATTTTCTGCCCCAGCTTCTCTGTTTACAATTGTGGCAGTTACTTTATTTCTCGTTTTACCTCAGTCTCTTCGAACTCAATGCCGACTGCACAATGTTTGAGCTGTGCTTGAACAGAGATGGACTTTGTGGCTGAGATGGCAAAGAGTCAGCTTCAGAGGGATCTCCACTTCTGCTCCTCCATACTCAAACACAGCCCCAGAGTTTTCAAATTATATTAAGGCCAGCAATGATTCCAAACTCGAAAACTCTGGATTAGTGTAGATGACAGGGTTAAACATAGAAGTGATGTGTTTTAAAAATATGTTGTAATGTGGATGTAGCCCCAGCTGCAGTGAGTGTTGGTGTAGCATTTCAGCTAAACATGGGGAGTGATTGTTTATATAATGTTTTAGTTCTGTCCAAGGAAAACTGAAATGCAAATGCTGCCAGCTAAGGTTTTAACTCTGTTCCAGGGTCAGAGTCATTCACCATAGTTGTACCAAAACTGCCTTGGTATATCAAGCTGACGTATTTATGGAAAGTGACTTGCTTATAGATGTAGGAGCTTTGCAAGCCATTTGAGCAGTAAGTAAGTAAGATCATGTGAGATGGAAGCAGGGTTAGCTGCTAATGGTGACATTACTTGCTTTGGGTTTATTGTTATCACAGTGTTATGGTGATGGTCTGTTCGGGCAGCTGTGGCTGAGGGGTAGAGTGGTCATCCGGTTCGATCCCCAGTCTTCCCCATCTGCATGCCGAAGTTTCCTTGGGCAAGATGCTGAAACCCAAATTGCCCCTCATAGAATAACAAGTGCTGCTAATAGATGCACTGTATGAATGTGTGTGTTAATGGGTGAATGGGTGCCTGACCCCAATTGGCCATCTTATACAACCAATAACCTCATCATAGATTTCTCCCTGGTCAGCTGTCTGAGGCCTGACCATGACATAACCTAAAGTCTAACACTGACCAAGGAGGACATGGCCACGCTTAACTTGTTATCACAGTGTTATGGTGATGGTCTGTTGGGGCAGCTGTGGCTGAGGGCTAGAGTGGTCGTCCGGTTCGATCCCCAGTATTCCCCATCTGCATTCCTAAGTTTCCTTGGGCAAGATGCTGAACCCCAAATTGCCCCTCAGTAACCATCAGTGCATTTCCCTGTTCAGATTAGTGCAAACATTTGATATACTGAGGTGTATGATACTTTATAATACTGCTGCATGTTTTGTGGACACACAAGACAAAGTCTCTGACCTAAACTACTATTTACCTTGCATCCAAGCTGACAACACAATTAGAAATATATCTCTCTCCATAAAGCACCACCTTTTAACCTTTAACCTTGTTTCTCAAGAGCTGAACCCTCCACTGTTGCTATGAGGGGTGTAGCACATGAACTAAAAGCCATTTATAATGATAATTCATGAGTTGGGATCAGTGAAGCTGTCAGCTGCACACTGGTCTATGTGGGTACAGTGTTGATGTTGGTGCCATGAATTGGGCTCTTGTCAGCATACACTCTGTCTGATGATAGTAGATGTGCAGGGCGTCGCCTTATCACTCCCAGAGGTTTGGCGCTGGTTGCTGTTAGTTTGTCCTCTCTGACATTTAGTGAAACCACAGCATGTTTGTATGAAAATAAATCTTGATTTCACCCCTCATGTCCAAGGCCCCTCCGTCAGAGCAAGTTGTTTATCAAAGTCATGGTGAAGTTCAGTCCATTGTGCACATTATGACTTTTAACTACAATTCCATGAAAGCTGATCGAGTGATTGAGTTATTATTATCATCATTGATTGGTGCTGCTATCATTAATGACACCATTACATCTATAAAAATCACTCTTATTATTTTCATTACAACAAGGAGTCTGACAGAGATTCAATATGACAACACAACTGTTCCTCTACCTCTCTCCCTCCCCTCTTTTTCACCCACCTCTCCTGTCTCTGTTTGGTTGTGCCAGAGGGTTTTTCCAGTTAAAGGAGTCGTCAGTGCTGCACGTTGTGGGAACTGTTGGGTTTCTCTATAATAAGGTCTCAACCATACTATGTAATGTGCCTTGAGATGTGCCTTCTCAAATGATATTGATACGAACTGAGGTTTTAGCAAATCATCTAAACTTAGGAATGATGTTAATTAGACTATACTGAAACTGCAAGTCATTTTAAAATAACAGCATGTACAAACTAACTTTTATGACCTTACTCACCCGCACAGACATGTTCAGTTTGATAGCACTACATTAGACTGAAGTAGATTTTCCACAATCTAAAGTTGTATTGCTGAGCTTTGTCATGAAGTAGTGTCAACGGTCCAAGTTTTGAAAAGGGTATTCTAAAAATAACCCACCAAAATGTATTATTACAATTAAATCTCCACAATCCATTCATTTATCAGACTTCAGAACTGTGACTCACAAATGTGTTCTATTGAGCAACTGCAAACCATCATCAGTCAAAGTCCTGGGGATGATTAGCAGCACCATCACCAGTACTTTACAGAATGCTGCTCCACAAACAAGATTGAGCACGGTCTGCAGTCGGTCATGTGACACATGATGCAATGCTGCAAATGTAGTATGTTCCCTTGAAGTAACTGTGTTCACCTACTATTGACTCAACAACACAGCACAAGCAGTCACTACAGCACCAAGCTTCCCAGCACCACCTTTCACAAGGACATTTGAATGAACCCAGCACGCACATTGTGATCTGTCAGTCGAACTGAACAGCGTATACGTATAGTCAGGCATTTTACCCAAATTACCGTGTGCGTCCATTTTTCTTCACAGGAAAGAACGTTTTACATAAACTAACAGAAAAATTGACTTTAATATTCAGGCAGAGTCATATAGCCTGTTTTCATGCCTGAAGGATTTTCTGTTCCGTTTGTTTGCCCAGTATCAACAGCTTCCAGGTCTGTTGTGAAAGGGCTACGCTGTGAGTCTGTTCTGTATTAGCTGTCAGGTTTGACCAACCATTTTCTCTCACATACTGTTACTGTCTTATTTTACTGCTCTCAGGTCAGTAAAGTCTCCCCCCTGTGTTAACGACTCGCTGTAAAATTGAAAGCTGCTCCGACTAATTTGTGTTTAATGGAAATGTTTCACACTTTACCAATAAACACCAACGCTCATCCCAAGTTATTAGGATCTGAACTGTACTGAAGTTTACTATCTGTGTTGATTTGTTCGGACATTTGCATTCACACATGCAGCCGCTCTGGAGAACGTCCAGAGGATCTCCAGAGTTAAGAGCATGTCTGAGAGCAGCTTTAAAGCTACAGTTTGTACAATTTTGTGATATCTAGAATGTCCCGATGTGAGGACGACTAGCAAGATTTCTTCAGTCAGCAAAGTTACAGAACAAGTACAACATAGACAGACTTCAGAAAGGAACAGAAGAACACATGATGCCCATGGTTTAAACCTAAAAACCCAACACATGAAGAAGCATCTCGACTTCAGTGTAGTTTTTTTTCTTTGTCAACAAGAGAAATGAGAAGGAAAGAGAAACGAGAAGCATACAGATCTGGTCTTTAATTAATTTTGATACTAGTTTCCCCAGGATTGTTACGTGTTGATGCAAATTGTGGTCACTTTAAACATTAGATGTTTTGTGAAAAGTCCTCTACGTTTCTATTATTTTAAATGTATCTGACTCTGTTGTGTGTTTGTGTGTCCTCTGAAGCTCTGCCCCTGCACAAATCCTCACGGCCAAGAAAAGATTAAGCAGCACTTGATTGTGCCCTTAAAGGAGAGCATTTATATGTTTATACGTGTACTTTATACACTGTGTCTGTCTGTTTCAGACCTTCATGTTCACTGATGGTGAGGACAACGAGCTGCGGATCAGAACAGGTAAGATGCCCCACAATTCTCATAGGAAACGGACAATGTGCTCTCATATTTTGTGGTTACAAAGTCCAATCACAATAAAAATGAATAACCCTTTGTTGCAACAGTGAAGAATAGTATTCACATTTGTCATTTAAGTGGAAATAAGAATTATCTTAATTTCCTTTTCCCACATTTTTGCCAAATGGGCTATTTAGATTAGAGTAATTGTGCATGTTGTGTGTATCTACAGCAACAAAACACATGCAAATAGATTTACAAATTATGACTCTGGATTAGAAAGCCTATATACTCTATAGCCAATTGGCTGACTGAGGACCACTCTCTATCTCTGCTCATGGGTCACCAGCATAGACCAGCTACGAGGAAGTTTGTCACAGCAGTATGAACAAATCAATTATAATTATATGAATGATTCAGCATGAACACTTCACATGTGTAGGTGCAGTAATATCCTGTACAGAGCAGCCTGCAGCTGAACTGTTTGTCTTTCACAGGAGCCAACATCATCAACACAAACTGCTCAGCAGCTCACACCCGCCAGGCTTTGTGCTGCAAGATGTCTGTGGAGTACGACAAATTCATTGAGTCGCAGAAAAAGTGAGTGAATCGTGGTCTGTCCCTGGTCCCAACAAACAGCAAGGACAGTGATATTCTTGGCAGCTGATTGCAAGTCCACTAACACAATTAACACCTGCATACTTTTAAAGGCTCAAAAGATTTCGAACAGCCCCGTTGTCAGTTTGTTGATCATCTTAAATGTTACAAAGGTTTGCAGTTAACTGCCTTGAGTCGAGAGACATATAGCAGAAGACAGACTGGTTGGTCAGAGCTTGATCCCGCAGCTATATAATAAACCACAACAATAGAGGAGGAGAAGCAGATGAAGGCTTTGCATGATGAAGAGCAGCACAGACTCTAGACCAGGGGTCACCAACACGGTGCCTGCGTCTCAAATTTAATATGCGTTTCTAATCAAATTTAATTATTTATTTTTCATACTGTCAAACTTTTCATTCTCATATTGAAGTTGACTATTGACTATGATTTGTTAAAAGGGTTTGACATTGGCTAGTGAAAATGGGACATTTTTCTTGAAATGTTGTAGAAGTGATCGTCTGATAATTTAAATAATTGCTGAGATTAATAGAAATAAAGTGTTGAATATTGATATTATCTGTTTCCCCCCTTGTTAAGTCATTGTTGATGATTATTGTGAGAAATCATTAACGTGATCAGTGTCTTCACATAGATGAGTATCAATTATCATTAATAATAATATATAACTAAAGGCAAACTGAGCAAATGTGTTATTTCAGAAGAGTGTATCAAACTGGTAGCCCTTCATACGACTCAGTACCCATGAAGTAGCTCTCAGGTTCAAAAAGGTTGGTGAGCCCTGCTCTAGACTGTACCATCATGCAGCTGCTTTGATGTGAACTGGACACAAGGTGAAAGTAATACAACCTGACAGTGCCACACATTTGTGTGAACCTCTGCAACAGTGTTGGAAACAACTTTCTGAACAGAAACCATGCTTTTGGCCATAACGCTAGAATGAAGGTGCTAATTCTGACAATGAGATGACACAAAGGGAAAGGACTCGTGGATTTGAAAACAAAAGTGTTGGCAAGTGAAAAGTGAAGGAAGAAGGACATTGGCATTGATCATCGTCGTTGCTGACAGTGGAATATCCTGCACATCGACCTGAAACAGGAAGCACATGTAAGAAAGTAAAAAACTTGTGGCAGCAACTTTGTACAATCGTGGGCGACAGCATTGTTTGATGTGACACAGCACAGCGCTGTTAAAAGTCAAACACTGCGTCAGTGTACACATTGAGAAGTATCTGAATTGAGACACAGGGAGGCAGTAATCCTAGTTTTTTTTAAGTCTTTGTTTTGTTTGCTCTTTGCTGTATTTTCAGAAACTAAACACTTTTGACCATGTAGTGTACAAACTAATGTACAATGCTTTCTTGTATGTGTATTTTTCGTAGGTGGTTCTGCCACGTGGATGATGATAACTATGTGATTCTGCCCAGCTTGTTGCGGGTGCTCTCCTCCTACCACCACAGCCAGGATGTGTACCTGGGCCGGCCCAGTCTGGATCACCCTATAGAGGCTTCAGAGAGAGTCAAGAGTGATGGATCAGTCAGTCAACTTACAACCTATTAGAAGTTCCTGACTCCACTATCTTTTGAAGCTAACCCGCTGGAGACTGATCATGTTGTCTTTCTAAATCTTCAGAGTGTTCCTGCAGACACCTAGTTACCTTGCTGATCTGTTTCTGTTTCATTTCAGGTGTCGGTTAAGTTCTGGTTCGCCACAGGTGGAGCAGGTTTCTGTATCAGCAGAGGTCTGGCACTGAAAATGAGCCCCTGGGCCAGGTAGGTGATGGATCCTCCTGCTCTTTTAACTAATTCAGGTTATTGAACCCTTTAAAGCTGGTGGACTCACTTAGCTCAGTTTGGTATATAACAGATAATAGCACTGATGCCCTTATTTTGAGGATTTCTCTGGCTTCACTGCATTATGACAAACACAGAAATACATTTGTAGGTTCCTCCACTTAATTCACCATCAAAACAAAAAGCTGAGACAGTTCACACCTGCTTATCTTCAAATAAAGCCCTTGTTATTTCTCTGCTCCTTCCACTGTGTTTCAGTGGTAGAACGTTTCATCCCTGCTGCTTTTAAAATGTACCCACTACCTTTGACGTCTCTGATAGATTGTATTCCCCTGACACATAATCCAGAGGGTGTTGTAGCGATCATTCTGTCATTTTCTGGCCAGAGCAGAGCTAGAAAACCTGTTTCTTTTTTAATGAAAGTTCAAAGTTGTGTTCATTAGGTCCTCAGCACCTTTTTTGTTTTTTTGGAGGGGAGAAAATGTTCACAGGTAACTCTGAAATCATGATCTGCTCTCTCCAGTTTTGTAGATGCTGGGTGACATGTCATCCACTGATTACTCTTTTTTTATTATGCTACTATTCCTGTCACTGTTCATATAAACAACTCAGTGCAACATTATGAAACATTTCTGGAGAAAATACTCATAAAATGTCACATTGCACATGTGCTACAAGCTAATTTCTTTTTTCAAAACATAACGACCCATAGGAAGACACTGAGTTTGCACTGTTAGGCTTGTTGGCAGAAATGTCTTGTGGTTTCAGTTTAGGGAATTTCATCAGCACGGCAGAGAAGATCCGACTCCCAGACGACTGCACCATCGGCTACATCATTGAGGCGCTGCTGGAGGTCTCCCTAACACACACACACCTCTTCCATTCTCACCTGGAGAACTTGCAGAAGCTGCCCACTGACTCTGTTCTGGAGCAGGTGAGTGTGTGTGGCGCGTTCAGTGAGACTTGAGACTAAGAAAACCTTTGCCATTTAAAAACCTTAAATCCTTAAAAGGTGCCCGTTGATGACTTCAAATCAATATCCCCATTATTTTAAATGTTTACCTCAATTTTTTGATTTTTGCTCTCAAAGTTCTCTGACACGATCTGAAATGGTAATATGCTGAAATATTATCACAGCATTGAGGTGCATTGATCGGCACTGGTCAACAAGCGACTCTGCCCCTTTGCTCTTTTCTACTAACTCACATGTAGAACTGATCTATATAATAACCTGCTGAATTCCTGTTTGTGTTCCTGGATAAACAGGATGTTGCTTCTTCTGTGATGTGTGTCTGCTCGTCTCTGTTGCTTTTCACACAAACCTATGATCACATTTATTTAGTTATAATCGATGATGTCGGATCATGAATCTGCATCGTGGCTGTCACTTTAACCCTGATGTCCTGGCTGAGGTTAACTTCTCATCTTGTGTGAAGCGATGTGTTCAAATACGTGTATCGTAAACTCTAGAGTGAATAAATCAAACACAAAGTTTAAATTTGAAGTTTAAAATTATATTTGTTCAGGTCCTGTAACTTCTGATTATTGGTGAGTGCAGGTCAGTTGGGGTTAGGGTGGAGGAAGGAAAGTATTGAGCAAGATTAAGTCGGTGAGAGTGTCAGTTTCAATGAATTTCTGGTTAATTTCCCAGTCCTACTTTAGGCACTTTCACTTGAATATGCCAGGATTGTATTGGCATTCAAACTTTGTGTTGTTTTTACTTCTGTTCTGCACCAGGTGACTCTCAGCTATGGAGGTTTTGAGAACAGGAGAAACGTGGTCAGCATTGTTGGAGGATTTTCACTGACTGAAGATCCCACAAGGTAAACAAATTCAAGCGGGCAACCTTTGGTACCATGCATATCCACACTGTCCTGAAGCTGTCTTATTGCTATCATATGTCATCAAAGCTTATTTTAATGGTAATGTGATGCTAAGTTGGTATTTATTTGAGTACTCATGTTGATCTTAAACGTTAGCTCTTTGTGTGAGCGTTTTGATGTTAGCGTTTTCTGTTTCACATCAATAACCTAGACTCTGGTGGTCATAGCCTTATTTCTTCCTGACAACGACACACACAATGATGCAAAATGATGATGACAAAAGATCTCTACCTAGTGTTGGTGCTTGACTCTAGAACTGTGCATTGCTCTGATGTTACAAAGGTGGAAACACTGACCACTTGAAATTTGTCCCTTTCCCTGACTCTGGTCTCTTTTAATCCTGCAGGTTTAAGACAGTCCACTGTCTTCTGTATCCATATACTGACTGGTGTCCAAAGATCAAACCTCGCCGCAAAAACTGAACGCCACAGTGTTCTAATCGTGCAGCACTGACACTTGCTGGAGCTTTGCCTCACTCTGCCATGTTTGGGTAAAGGCAAGTGTAGCAGGGAATACCTCACGTGTCATGGAGTGGATGCCTTCACCCAAAGCTGCCTCGCCTCATGCTTCATGAAGGAGGACAGAAGCTTTTAAATAGGCAGAGCTGAAAAGAACAGGTGGAACCAAAGAAGGACCTTTTCTGGCTGGCAGAGCATGAAAGTGGATGAAGCCATTAGTGTCTGGAGCTACATTTCTAAATTAGCTTTCGAGAGTTGACTATTGACATAACAGTGCCCTTGTTAATTTAGCCAATTTATGAGTTCATGCCACTGTGTAGAACGTTTTTCATTTGAGACGTGCTGTTAAATTACATTTTGTTTACCAAGTGTTTTCTCCCAGTCATGTGATGTGTGTTTAATAGTGGTACATTTTCCCATTCATGTTGACATGGTATCAATGAAGCGTAAGACAACATTCACTTTGCTGTTGCAGTCAGGAACCAACTCTGCAACACGGTTTCTAAATTGACCCAAAATAGAAAAGGGAATTCAAGCGGCTGAATTGAATCCATGTTTTTCAAAGCTCAACCTCCAGGTCCTGTTTGCCGAGAACGTTGAGGTTACTCTGTGGGACTCGCACTGAACTTCTCCTCTGATGTAATGTTCTGGATGTTTCAATTATGTTCAGTGAAGCAGATTTGTTTGCACTGATGGATTTTCATGCCCATCCAAGTGCAAGCTTTCAGTTGGCCAGTCATGTAATGTAGCTAACCCTTACCTAGAGATTCCTGTAACCCTGAACTGTTCATACACAGTAAATTGTGCTATTTGACAGGTTAAGTGAAACCACAGTGGAAGGATCCAAGTGGTTTTCTGAGGCTCAGTGACAAAGACTCAACCCTCCCTCTCTTCCTAACCATAGACATGCACTCTCACTTATCTACATCAGCAGTTTATTTATGGCTCACTGTGATGCAATACTCTCACAGAGCAAGTTAATACCAGGACTCTGCGGGCCAGCTTCCACAAATCAAGTGGGTGTTTTTGTTCTGGCAGTCCCATGTTGGATGTTTTGCATGACAGCAACCCTACATGAGACAACCCTGAGGAACGCTTCAGCTCACTCAAAATCACACTGTGTCCACACAAAGATGACATTTCATACCACAAAGATTTGACTGCAATCTGTGTTTTGGTCTGTGAGGGTGAAGGAGAAAATGGAAAGTGTAAAACCTATCCTTTCAGCTTAACAGTTTACTGAGCTAGTCTACCAGTATTGCATGACTGCTAATTTGCTAATTAAAAGAATGTGGTGCTAGCCCCCTAAGAAGGCTTATCTTCTTTGCTTCAGGAACTGGGAAAGATTACTCTGATCCTCTGGCTCTGTCCACTGTGGTTTAACTTTAACAGCAGAGCAGCAAGCTGGGCTGTGTTACTTCAGAGCCAAGTAAAAAACCCCATGCAGTTTTAGATGACTGTAAAAGAAGTCACTGCATGATCTCCAGCTTGTCTTGTGCTCTGAAGTGTGATGGCTCTGAGGTAGTATCGATCTATGATTCAATCAGGTAGAGGCTCCTGTATGTGAAGGGGGGCTACAGTGTTATTAGGACGTACTCACCAAGTTCATGTCATCTCCTTCTGTTACCGTTAATGTGACGTGACAGCCCAAAGTCAAAATAGCATCACGATGGTTTCCTGCAATGAAAAATGGTTGAGGTACTTTAAATGGGCCTGAGCATCATGTTTTTAAGTTTCTTTTTCTTTCAAACATGAACTGCAGTTTAAATTGATCAGAAATGAGACTGTGCTGTTTGGTCTGCTGTGTGTGCACGTTTCTTTCAGTCTAACTGTTCTGTCCCTCATGTTCTCAACCTAACACCCTCTCCTGGCTTCAGCCTATTTCTTACATCTATGGTTTTGCACTATATTGACTGTATCACTTCCTATAAGTTACTGATTGTAGCTAAATGTCTAAATAAGTTAATTTCGTTGGTGGCTTTTGTATATTCATTTTTTTCATAGGTTGTAATTGTAGCTCTGTGGTCACCTCTTTGAGCCAGTAATGTGTCCCTCACTGTTTCACATAGACATGAATAGAGAGTGATTTTTTTTTGGGGGGGGGACTGACTGAACCATGTGACATAAATGAGTGGAACATCTCACTGTTTGGTATGAAGGGTCCCACGAGGATGGTTGCTGATAATCGACAGCTTGTTTAGTCCTAACATGAAGGGTCCTGGTCGATTAGGTGTCAGATGAGCTGCATTGAAACCCTGCTGTTGACCTACCTGAGGAAAATGTCTTTACTGCCACAGCCATGCTTTAGTTTTAGAAATGGGGAAAAATGAAAACCTCTGGAACCAGTATATCAGAGCTAGACCCTTGTTCCTTCTTTGGAATACAGGTTTGTGGCCTTGACTTCGATAAACTGGTTCTATGGCAGCACCCACGCATGTTACACAATCCAGCTGCAGTATTTGTGCCTGTAAAAGTATTTGTTTTAAACAGCTGTCCTCCTTTTTGCACACAAGACAACAATCCAAAATGCAGAGCTTGTGTCTCACTGCAGGTCAGTGAGTGAGCTGAAGGACAGAGGTGGTTCAACTGTTTACCATGTAAAATGGGTTATTTTGTTTTAAGAATAAAATCTTTCTACATTCTCAAGTGTTTGACTGTTACTGAGCTGCTGTCCCTATGTCTATGTTTATTGGGTCAGAGCTCGAAGACTGTGCTTTGGCCGTTATGTGGTCAACTTGTACAATTTGAATAAAATGACCCAAATCATATTTATAGGAGTTTTTTTCAGATACCTCTTACTGGGAAGTGTCTTTCATGAATAACAAAGCTGTTAGAAAGGATGATGAGCTCACTGGGACGTGTGTGATTGAATAAAGCTGGTGGAGGTTAACCATGATTTACTATTGTGGGACTTTCCACTCCTATGTAACAAAGTGGGAGTGAGAACATTCATATCTGTAAAGGGAATGCATTATGTCAATGGATATCCTCCTGAGTATAGAAAGTGCTCTCATTACTACAATAGTCAACAATATTCACTTATCACAGCAGCTGATTGCAGATGTGACTTTAAGAGAACCTTAATATATTATAGGTTAGAATAAGTCTAATATTATAATAAGTAGTAAAAATCAACCAAATCTTTTTTTTCTCCAAAGTTTATTTGTTCATTAATCTCAAATATATTATTTTTGGTTGAGCTGTTACAGTGACAACATTGTAGCAAAGACATCCATTATATTAGTTAATAATGATGATGACTATTATTATTAATGTTCAAACACCATAATGATGATAAAGAGTGAACTCAGTGACTGTGTGAATCATGATAATTAAACATTATGTACTGAAGAGTAGAGTGAAATACAATTTGGTGAGGTGAGTGGATTAACCAGAGCACACAGGATTTACTGATATATGGAATCACTCTGGGATATCTACCCACATGCAGTCTATGGACATGTCAGGAGAGGTTTTATTTGAATGTGGATGAGCTTCTGAGTGGTTTGTGCGTGTTCACGGTGACTGTGCAGGTCTGACCTGGAAGACAAACATTAACAGTGTGGAGGTTTCATGTTGAGCTTCCTGCAGCCCGGAGCTGAGCCACTTCTGCTGCTGCTGGTGAGTATCTCACTGCCTCGAACACACCACAGGAAACTGTGTTTGGATGCAGGCTCGTGTTTGTGAAGATTTAGAAAAGATCAGCTAAGTTTAGCTCGATCAGTGCTGAAGTCAGACCTGCAGGAGTCACGTGCCTGCTCGCTTCTCTTCAGCCTTTAGCTGTGTGTGTTCCAGGTCGATCTACCCTGATCTCTGCGCACAGGAACCACCATGGAGATCTGTTTTGCGGGTAAACGAGCTCTGGTCACCGGAGCTGGAAAAGGTAAAAGAATTAAACTCACACAAACACCCATGCTAGATGTTTTCAGAGAGTGCACTGACACCTGCAGGCTGCTGGGAGAACTACAGCCCTCACAAAATACCAAGTTTTGTGTTCTTTTTAATGATCTTCATTTTCTAATGCAATAGTATCAGACTGCAGCAATGGTGGGTGTTAGAGTCTGGAGAACCTTAAGCTAAGCTCCTCTCTAACCCTGACCAGAGTCCCCTTATGGTGCTTAACCTGACACATTATCATCAGTCACATTTATTTTTATGTTAATTGTATTAGGTTTTTATTTGAAATTCCTCCTCTGATTATTTTTAATTAAACAGTTTAATTGGGCAGGGGGCAGACTCAGTCTTTATGGAGTTTGGCTGGGTGACTAATCTGAAGGGAGCATAGAGAAGTGAGTAGGACTGCAGTCCATGACGAACAATGAAGACAAGTCAGGTTTTCTAGATTGTAAAGGCCAAAACTGAGGGTCATAGATGGTCATAGATGGAAACATGTAGCTAGTTCAAACGTTCTTAGGTAAAGTTAACTCTCGTCAGGCAAGTTCGGGTTCAACTAGCAACTTGTTGGACCATTTCTGACAGACACAATGTTATACAGGCAGGTTCTGTGGCGAGTGATCTGATAGCTATAAGCTGAAACCTCATTAAGAAGAAGAACTGTCAAAGTTTAGATTATGGAACAGTGTTAATGATAGTACTTAGTACAGTGCATACCTCTGTCAAGGCCCAACACTCCCCTACATTAAAACAAACTAACACCAGAGGACACAAACTTATAAATCAATTCCCTAAAATATGTATTTTTCATCAAAATCACCTCATACGTACATTGTAAAAGATTACAAAGTAAATGATAATATAATAGAACATTTTTAATAAAACAAGACAGAATATATGATATATAAGAAGAATGAATGAATCATAAAATACCGTCGGAGTATAATAACGTATATATATCATGACAGATAAAACCAGTGTAAATTTTAAAAAAGCCATACAAATGATAAAATACTACATGAAAGCCAGGCTGAAAAATTGGGTTTTTAGTTTTCATTTAAAAGGCATCACCAAATGTTTTGTTCTGCTTTGTGAAGCAGCTAAAAGTGAAGAACCAGAGGATCTGAGGGGCCTCCCTTGTTCATTAACCAAATCCTACAGGTGCAAACCCATGTAGTGCTTTATAAACGAATAAAAAGATTTCAATAATTAATACGAAAATGAACAGGCAGCCAGTGTAGAGACTATAAATAGGTGTCATTCGTGCTCTCTTTTTGTTCTTAGTCAGCAACTGTGCAGCAGAATTTGAATTAACTGTAGCTGATTTGTTGTGTTTTTGTTTTGGCCGACCAGAAAGGTGAGCAATGCAAAGGTGTAGCCAGCTGGTTCTGAAAGCGTGTATTAGTCTCTCTGTGTTGCGTTTGGAGGCCAGCTTCTCTCTCTCTGTGCCTTTGAACCAATGACCAGTACGTCAGTTTTATTCTGGTTTAGCTGTAAAAGATTCTGTGACATCCAGGTGTTTATAACTAAGATGCAGTTAATAATTAACATACAGTTGACAATCTGGCAGATACTAGAGCCAAAGAGTTTTTAGAATGGTTGGAATGCATGGATTTTAAACACACCCTGGACTTAATAGTGTGTGGTTCTTAAAATGAATATGTCTTCTTTCACTGATCTGGCCTTGTCTGACCACTGTGTATTTAACAGTTCTGATCACTCTCCACTAAGTACCACAGAGCATGTCGTCGAAAAACGCCATATGACCCCCTGAAGTAGCCACACCTGTCATGACACAAATTACAACCTACAAAAATAACATCTTACCGTCATCATGTGAAGACTGAGTTAGTCATTTCAACCAGAAAAAGAAAACAATGGTTGATGCAGCTGCTCCTATCAAAGTCAGGGAAATAACTCAAAGTTCATCCCAAGAGAAAAAAAAACAAACCATGGAATTAAAAAGAGACAATACCGTTCACATGTGATGAATACTAATATTCACAGACTCCTTGTTAGTATAGATTCTCTGGTAAACCCCAAACCAAAAATGAGAAGAGTTTACTTCAGGGATAAAATAATCAACATTAGAGCTGGTATCTGTCAACAGAATGAGCACACTGCACCTTTATCCATACCCTGTTTGAATAAATGATGTCAGGTTGGAACATTTAGCCTGGTAATGCTGAAACTCTCAGGTAAGTGTTAGCAGAACTGAAGTCCTCCTCGTTTTCCCTAGACCCAACTCCAACCTCCCTTTTTAAAACATAGACATAGCAAATCCCTACTCGTGGTGTCTCCCCCACTGATTTTAAAACTGCTTTGACAAAAACTCTTTTAAAGAAAGAGAATCTTGATATTTTAACACCTTTAGAGAGATTTCAAATCAGAAACTAGAAAAAAAACATTAGAAATGTTTCAATCAGGTTTCAGGACACGTCACAGCAAAGAGACAGCCCTGCTAAAAGTAGTAAACGATATGAGAACGAATCTGGTAAGAGGTGATTGATGATAATTACTTTAAATTAATAAACACAATGTAAAACGTCAAACACCATTTGTTAAATATTAGCTTAGAGATGATTATTATTATTATTATGAATGTGTTAACAAATGTTAAGTGATGAAAGCCGAAGTGATGATAATGAATGTGAATTCCAATGTGCCCTCGTCAGTTCACACTGTGAGAAACTGGAATAAAAACCGCTTTGTTCACGGAGTGCAGTCTGGCTGAGTCTGAGACATGTGTGGAATGTGTGTGTGTCAGCTCTGGTGTCACAGCCGCAGATCCACTCGGTAATAAGTCTTTGTGTTTATGGATGTTTTGTGTCTCAGGGATTGGCAGGGCCGCTGCTCTGGCTCTGGCACGCTGCGGAGCGGAGGTCACGGCGCTTACGCGCACACAGGCTGACCTGGACACGCTAATGCAGGAGGTGCCCACCCAAACACACACACACACATACCCTGTCACCCAAGTGAGGGGCTCGGTCCCCCACCTCTGACCTCTCATCCCCCACCTTTCTCTGATTCATCTGTCCCACTGCGCCCCCACTTCAGCTCTCCTCTCATTATCATCTGAGGTGTTTACTTTCCTCTCCAACACACAGCTCTGCTTATCTTCTTTTATTCTTTTTATTTTTCAAATAAGACTTGGCATTGGAAGCTGCTTTTTAAAGGAAGTAACTTTGTGCAGTTTTTGCTTGTAAAAACCAAGGTAATCTATAAATATACCAAAAGAAAAATATATTACATACATTTTTCAAAAGTAAAAAGCATTGGCAGTTTGAAAGAGAAATCTTGTACGATGAAGAGAATACTGGAGCATATCACTACATACTAAATACTACAGCATGTGCTACAGTATGTTACAGTACTGTGCTGTTTTTTATTTAAGAAAACCAAAAATGGATCATTTTGCACATAACAGAAATTCTGTTTGACTCGATTCATAGTTCATTGTCTAACTCTGATGTGGTTGCTGACCAAAACCCAAGTTAGAAATGAATCACATTTAGACATTGGTTTCCGTCTCCATCTTTATCGACACCAACATGTCTGCTTCTCTCACAGTGTCCGTCCATCTCTCCGGTGTGCGTGGACCTGGCAGACTGGGGGGCCACGGAGGCAGCCCTGCAGGACGTCGGCCCCATCGATCTGCTGGTGAATAACGCCGCCTTTGCCAGCCTGCAGCCATTTCTGGAAGTCACACCCGACCAGTTTGACCAGTAAGATGAATATGAGATACTTCTGTG